AAAGTATCCCACCTGATTTTAGAATTGATATCTCCAAAGATAGGGTGGGGTGTAATTTCCACTAAAAATAAAGGGGAATTGGTTGTAGCTCATTGTTGTTCAACAGTTCAAGTCCACCGTTGTACAATTCGTCTAACCATCAAATTCAATTAGTTGTAGCTCATTTGAAAACTCAATTGAAATAATTAATTCACGAACCCTTTCCCCCATATCTTTTCACGGTTCACCTTCAGGCTTCAACATTTCACCCGTCCCTGGAGAGTAGAGATGATCGCCATCCGCCAAACCTTCAGCACGGTTTCAGTATTTCACCGCCCCTGGAGACGACCGCCGTCTGTCGGCCCTTCACCACGGTTTCAGTATTTCAGATTTTCAAACTCTATCTTTGTGCTTCAGTCGGCCCTTCACTCTTTAGGTACAAAAAGAATCGGTAAATCCATGGGTGTGATTGTGTGAATGAAATTTCAAATGTATTATGCATTGTTTAGATTAGACTTGCTAGTTGCTAGGTAATTTGGTAAATCCATTTGATTAAGGCTAAATAAGGCAGAGTGACTCGCAGAGACATATAAAGGAGAATGACAGAATTGTTAAGGACAGATTAATATTAAGGACATGGGACACATTAACTGATTAACATATATTTTTCTTTTTAATCGTGTTTCTTTAATCTGGTTTGCTAAAATGTTTCTTAGTCTTCGAGTTTTTTGGCATACTATAATGTATAATGGGAATTGTAGAATTATATTAAGGACAGAAATTTGGGAAATGTTAGCTTTAGGATTTAGGAAATGTTAGCTTTGGGAATTTAGCCATGTTAAATTTTGAAAATGAGAACTCTGTGCTCATTACATATGATATAATGATAGAAATTTATAGGATATTGAAGTATTTTGATATTTATGCTTTTAGGTTTAATATGGAAGAAAATAGACCTTCTTCCAAGAAAGGAAGAACATTGTAATCTTTCTTTTCAAAGAGTAAAAAATATCAGGATACTC